GCCTCACCGGTCCGAGCTGGGCCCGCTCCAGGGCAGCGGTGGTGGCAGGTCGGCGAAGCAGTGATCCTCCACCAGGAACCTGCCGTCGTCCTGCTCGCAGCCGTACACAGCCACGATGGTCCCTGTGGCACAGCAGGCGCTCAGCCCCGGCAGGGCGGGTGCCACCGCAGAGCCAGCGCTGTCCCTTACCTGTCACCAGCCTCTGCACGTCAATGGCTCCTTCCAGCTTGATGCGCTGCAGCTCGTCCTCCAGGATCAGCTCGTCAGAGGGCTGGATGTACTTGGGCAGGGGCGGCTGAGGCACCAGGTTGTGCTGCGAGGGCACAGAGACAGCTTTATGGCCTCAGCAAGGACCAGCAGCCCCCAAGATCCCTCCCCAACCCCAGACCCCACCACCAGTACAGCCAGCACCCCAGCTGGGGGTCCAGCAGCTGGGACCGCCCGGGTGGGCCGGTTTCACTCACTGAACAGGAGTGGTGGGCAGGGGGAACAGACGTACAAAGGGCAGGTTCAGATTGGATATGGGAAGGAATGTGAGGGTAGTGAGGGCCTGGCACAAGTTGCCCAGAGCAGCTGTAGCTGCCCCTGAATCCCTGGTAGTGTCCAAGGCCAGCCTGGATGGGGCTTGGAGCAGCCTGTGCTAGTGGAAGGTATTCACACATGCTGGCACCAAGGTGGCACTCAGGGACAGGCTGGACACAGGCCATCCTGCTCAAATCTCTGCCACTTCCCTGGCTACAGCGAGCACAGGGAAGCCATGGGAGCCCAGCTGAGCTCTCAGGCGTCCGGGCACAACTCCCACCCCGAGCTGTGTGGAGGAGGAGGAGGAGGTGAGCCCATTACCTCCTCGCTGATCTCCTGAAGGATGGAGGGCTGGAGCTGCATGGACTTGAAGAGCGTCCCCACCACGCAGCACTTCTCTCCCTCCTGCAGCTCCGAGAGCCTCCGCAGCACAACGTCGTTCCCTGTGGAGAGCTGGGGGTCAGCAGCCCCGGGGGGACAGTGGGCATGGTGTGGGGCTGGCTGGAGCAGCTGCAGGGCCCCAGCGCCGAGCTGCTGGGGAATTTTGGGAAGCCTCCTGCTTCTCCGAGGTGCTGGGGAGTTTTGGGAAGCCTGCTGCTTCTCCTCGAGGCACAGCGCCCAGCGGACATGTGTGGGCCAGATGGGGCCGAGGAGCATTCCAGAGCCTGCAAGCCTGCAGGCATTTCCTCTGTGCTGGGGGGAAGCTGGGTCATGGTGGTGTGTTCGGCTCCCAGTAACTGCTCTGCTCTGCCTGGGAAGGGCCCAGGAGGCACCTTGGGCAGGGGGGCTGCTGTTCCTGCTCCTCACCCAGGGGATAACCCAAACATCCTGGAGCCGACAGGCAGGAGATGACAAAACACCCCCAAACCTGATCTCTGCCAGGGCAAGATCCTCTGCCCCAGAGCCCTGCTGGAATTCAGGATCCCCATCACTTCCAGAGGAGGTGCTGGCATGCTGACAGGTCCCTGGGCTTTAGGCAGGGATCCACAGGGGATGTAGGCTGGGAGGACCTCGGGAGCTGCAAGAAGCATCGCAGGCCCGGCTGCACCCACTTTGTGGCTGAGGAACAAAAATCTCCCTCACCACAAGGTGAGCCCAAAACTTCTTACCCCAGCCCTGGGGACCCAGAGGTGCTCCAGCCCCATCCAGTGTGTGTCCTCCCATCCAGTGGGACTGTCATTCCCTGTTTAAACCAGCCTGTGAAGTCCATCCTGAGCCTCAAGCCCTGGAAAGGAGCAAGGAACCTGCTCCTGGTCTCCTCTCCCAAACAACACTGCCTGCACCAGCTCCTCGTCCTTTCTGGGTGACACTTCTCCCAAAACCCCGCTTTGCTCATCACGCACTGCTGAGCGTGATTCTTGTCCCAGGGAGAGCATCCCGCTGCCATCCCTGGCACCCCACACTGGAAACATGGATTCCTGAGCCCAGGAATGCAAACACTCTGAGTCAGAACAAAAACAATCCCGTTGAAGTTTCTTATTTTTGGCTCAAACTCCCCAAAATGTGTGTTCAGGGGGGAGGGGGCTGTGCTTTCCAGATTTTTGCCTGCAGGCGCTTCCTGCTGGGAAACAAACCCCAAAATCCGGTCCCGTCCCAGGACTCCAGGAGGTGGAGTTTACAAACCACTGGATCCTGTCACACTTGGCAAAGCGCAGGGTGGCCAACCAAAGACCAGCACTGGCTTTGCTTCCACGCAGCCCACGGGGCTGGGGAGAGCACAAGAACAGGCGTCCGGCCCAAAAGCTTCCACTGAAGGGGTTTTTTGCCCATAGAAGGGCAAAGCTGAAGGAAATTCGATCTCGGGCTGGGGAGGGAGGGCAGAGCCCCAGCAGCCCAGTTGCTTCATCCCGTGGATGGAAACTCTGAGCCTGAGGGTCCCACCCACAGAACCACAACCCCCCAGGACAGGAAACAGCCCCCCCAGCACAACCAGCACCTCTCACCCCTCTGCAACCTCCTGTGCCCCACTTCCTGGCCAGGGCCCCCCAGCCCCACCTTGACAAACCTCACACTCAACTCCTGCTCCCTGAAACGTGTGGGGCGATGTGACCAAGGCAATGGGGCTCTCCCTGCCCACACCCCCCTTCTATCTGCGATGGGAAATGCAGTTTGTCCCAAGGTCAGCACTCCAGGTGGGAGCTGCAGCAGGATTGCCACATAACCCACCTGCAAATGGATGGTCCCATCATCCCTATGCATGCCAGAGCTGGGGGGCTGAGCTGGCTGTGCTGCACAGCCCCTGTCAAGGGTACAACGCTGCTGGGGACTGGCACAACTGGGTACACTGGAGCTGCTCAGGTTGCAGGAAGGTTCTGGGTGGATCGCCGCCTGGCAGGGATGGACTCCCCCAACAGGGATGGATCTTGCCCCCAGGGTACATCCAGCCTGAGGAACACTCATCTCTGGACTCCAGATATAAATCTGGCCAAACACCGAGATAAAACCTGAAGGCTTTAAGCTCCACAGATGTTTGCTGCCAAGGCCACCACTAACCTGTGCTCCCAAGTGCAACATCCACACAGCTGTTACTTCCCCACAGGGATGGGGACTCCAGCACTGCCCTGGGCAGCTTTGCCAGGGCTGGACAGCCCTTTCCACGAAGGAATTTTCTCAATATCCAACCTAAACCTCTCCTGCTGCACCTTCAGGTTGTGTCCTCTTGTTCTGTCCCTGTTCCCTGGGAGCAGAGCCCAACCCTCCCACTGGCTGCTGGCTCCTGCCAGGAAATTATGGAGAGTCAGAAGGTCCCCCCGAACCTCCTTTTCTCCAGCCTGAGCCCCCCCAGCCGCTCCCCCCTGGACACGCCTCAGCCCCTCAGTGTTTTTCCAGGGCAGTGTTTTGGTTTTCCCAGGGCAGTGTTTTTCCTGGGGCAGTGTTTTTCCTCGGCAGTGTTCTGTTTTTCCCAGGACAGTGTTTCCCCCTTTCCCCCGTGGTGAGGGGTTCCCGGGCTCACCCCATCGGCTGCGAGCGCGCCGCTCCAGGCCAGGCCGCATGCCGGCAAGGCGCACGGCGTAGATGTGGGCGTACTGCCGGGCAAAGCTGCGCTCGCCCAGCTGGAAGGGCTGCGAGCAGTCCGAGTAGCCCGACACAGCCACCCTGGGGAAGGTGGGGGGCTCAGCTGAGGGGGGGGCCAGCAGCCCCTGCGCCGTGGCAGCCGCCTGCTCTGAAAACATGGCGTGGAGCTCTAACGACGGGTCTGGAAAATAAATGGGTGAATTGAGACTCTAGCTCCCACCCAAGGCACAACAGTCCCCCTGAAAATGATCTTCCCCACCCCCAAAATACCATGTGCAGGTCTGACCCTCCCTCTGCACACTGCACCCCTCAGCCCCCCTTCCTCCCAACGCAGGGTATCCCCAAACTCATCCTGGTGACCGTACCAGCCTCTCCTACAATCCCCTCACAGAGCAGGACACCTGAAATCCCCATAAAACACACCCTGACCACCACATCCCCGCAGCCGCCCCTCTCCCAGACGGACCCAGGCCCGGCACAGCCCCCCGGACATGCCCCAGCGCCCCCCAACAAACGCGCTCCCACCGGCACAATCCTCCTCCCGCGGCACTGCGCCCGGACAGCCCGCTGGCACCGGGACCCCGGGCACACCGGAGCCACCGCCAGCCCCAACGGGGCACCCCTGAGGCTGCAGACCCCACAGGATCCCCCTGAGGCTGCAGACCCCACAGGATCCCCCCGGGTCCCCTGAGGCTGCAGACCCCACAGGATCCCCCTGAGGCTGCAGACCCCACAGGATCCCTCCTGAGGCTGCAGACCCCACAGGATCCCCCCGACCGGGTCTCCCCCGCACCCGCACGGGGACAGCCGCTCGGTCGCGGCCCGGTCCCGCCGGTCACGTACGGGCTGGGGGGGCGCGGGCCGAGGGTCGGTGCCGGTCACGCTCGGGCCGGGGGTCGGGGCCGGTCACGTTCGGGCCGGGGGCCGGGGCCGGTGCCGATCACGTTCGGGCCCGGGGTCGGGGCCGGTGCCGATCACGTTCGGGCCCGGGGTCGGGGCCGGTCACGCTCGGGCCCGGGGTCGGGGTCGGTGCCGGTCACGCTCGGGCCCGGGGTCGGGGCCGGTCACGCTCAGGCCGGGGGTCAGGGCCGGTGCCGATCACGTTCGGGCCCGGGGTCGGGGCCGGTGCCGGTCACGCTCGGGCCGGGGCCCGGGGCCGGTGCCGATCACGTTCGGGCCCGGGGTCGCTGCCGGCACCGGGACCGGGTCCCGCCATGGGGGCGGGGCTGCGGCGGGAAAAGGCGCGAACGCCGCGCGCGCGGCCAAGTGACGTCAGAGCCGGCGCGAGATGCGCTGAGGGGCGGGGCCAGAGCCGCGGGCGGGGCACCGGGAGGGACCGGGACGGACCGGGGGGGGCCAGGGGGGGACCGGGAGGGACATGGAGGGGACACGGAGCGACATGGATGGGGGCACGGAAGGGCATGGAGGGGACATGGAGGGACCGGGAGGGGACATGGAGGAGGCATGGAGGGGAGCAGGACACGGGACAGCGGGACAGACACCGGGACAGCCAGACACCGGCACCGACCCGGGGCCCTTCGGAAGCCGTGGGGTGAAGGCCACGCGGGGGATGAAGGACACACGTGGGGTGAAGGGCGCACCGGGGGTGAAGAAGGGCACACCTGGGGTGATGGGCACACGGGGGGTGAGGGGCACACCGGGCGTGAGTGGCACACGAGGAGTGAGGGGCGCACCGTGACCGGCCCCAGAGGGGACACCGGACTGACCCCAGGGGCACACTGAGCCCCTGGGCTCCCCAGAGCCCGGAGGGGGCCAAGGCGGACCCGGGACAGGCCTCCCGATGTCGGGACGGATCTCGGGGTCTGGGCTCTCCCTCCCGCCCCACACGTGGTGGGATTTCCCCGAGGGGCGAGGCTGGGGTGCTGAGCCCCCCCATGTCCCCCCCCGTAACCCCTTCCTGCGGGGTGGAGCTGTGAGGCAGGAGGGGCCCTGTGGAGCAGCCGTGCTCGGTTCTGTGGGTTTTGGGGTTTTGGTCCCCCACCCCCCAGGCCTCTATAAAAGGTGTGGGGCCGCAGGCAGGCACCCGCTGTCAGTGATCTGCTGTGGGCTCGCCATGGCTGCCACCTTCCTGCTGCTGCTGCTGCTGCTGGCAGGTGATGGGGACCCTCCTGATGGCCACCCCGAGGTGGAGGGGACAGGACACAGGGGGACGAGGGGGATGGCAGCCTGGAGGATTGAGCTGCGGCGGCTGGGCTCTGTGTGGGGACCTGTGTGTGACGGGGATGGGCTCTGTGTGGGGACAGGCACTCAGGGATGTGGGAAGGAGGACAAGGGGACAGTCAGAAGGGATGGTGGGGGCTGCAGGGATGGGAACAAGCACCTGGGGGTGGCAGGGATGGGCTCTGCCCAAGCACCCAGGGGTGGTGGGCACGGTGCCCGTGTTGGGACCGGCACCTGGGGACATTTGGGGACGGGGTCTACGTGGGGACCTAGGAGCGGTGGGAACAGAAGGATGTGAGCACAGGCATGAGGGATGGTGGGGATGGGGTTGAATACCTGGGGCAGGTGGTTTAGGAGTCTGAGGACTTTAGTGATGGGCACCCAACCTGCATCCACGCTCACTGTCCTGTCCCCGTGCAGCAGCAGAGGCCACGGTGCCCCTGCCCTGCCAGGGTGACCCAGCGTCCTGGTGCTGGGACACGGCCACGGCCACGCGCTGCGGCTGGGAGCAGCAGTGCCAGCACCTCCGCGACAGCCTGGCCCTGGTGAGACCCCAACCCCAAGTACTGCCAGGGCCACCCAGGGGTCCAGGCAGCCCTGAGGGTGTTTTGTGTCCCCACAGGGGAATGCGTCTGACGGGGACAGGGACAGCATGGGGCAGAGCAGGGGGATTAAGTGCAGCCTGTGCACCAAGGTCCTGAAGAAGATACAGTCGCTGGCAGGTGACGACCCCGACGAGGTGAGGGGTGATGAGGGTTTGGGGGACTGGGCTAGGGGCCCTCTCCCTGTGGCCCCCTGACCTGTGGTGGCTTTGGCAGTCGGCGGTGGCAGAAGCAATGCGGAAGGGCTGCCGGGCGCTGGGCCGGGCTGTGGGCAAGGTGTGCAAGCGGTTGGTGAAGAAGTACCAGGACAAGATCAGCGAGGCGCTGCAGAACGGGGACACGCCCCAGGACATCTGCACTGCCATGGGCATCTGCCGCTCCTGAACACGGTCAGTGCCCACCCGTATCCTGATCCTGCATCCCATGGGCCGATCCTGCATCCTGTGTCCTGTACCTCGCATCCTGCGTCCCCATCCCATACCCCATGTCCCATACCCTGTGCCCTGCACCCCACATCCCCATCCTGCATCCTGCACCATGTCTTGCACCCGGCATGGTAATCCCACAGCCCCTGTCCTGCACTGTGTTGTGCACGCTACAACCTGATCCTGAACCCACATCCTGATCCTGCACCAAATGTCCTGCACCCCACATCCTGATCCTGCACCCCACATCCTGATCCCATACCCCCCCCTTCATCCCACACTTTGCACCCTACATCCCTCACCCCATGCCTGCCGGCGGGGTGGGAGTGTGCTTGTGGTTTCTGAACCTTCCCTGCTGCAGGCTGTAGGGTGGGGGTGAGCCAGGTCACCCTGCAGTGTGTGGTGGAGTGGGGGAAGGCTGGGGAAGCTGCTTCTGCTGGCCCCCGACTCACGCCCTGCTCTTTCCTCTCTGCACAGGCACAGCCCCGAGTGCCCCCAAACCCCGAGGCCCCTCCAGCCCCTGATGCCCCTGCAGCCCTGGCATCCCCCTCCCCCTCAGTAAAGTCCCTCCTCTGGCTCCTGGGTCTTGTTTGTCTGCCCTGGGGGGACACGGTGACACAGCTGTATGGCACCAGGCACTGGCAGGGGACAGTCTGGGCCTGGCCCGCCCACAGCAGGGCCAAGGTGACACCGAAGGTGCCAGCGGTTCTGTGGGGATGCGTCCCATGTGGGCTGGAGCGAGCGGTTCCTTTCACACACCTGGGTGGGCCTGGCTGTCATGGTCCCCTCGCTGCACCCTGTGCCTGGCACTGCAGCTGTCCCTGCACGCAGCACTGTCACTTGTCACCCACTTGTCACCGGCACTGCCGTGGGCTTGGGACTGTCCTCACTGGCCGGCATTGGTACTGTCCCAGCTGAGCACGGGGAATCCCTTCTGCAGTCCCAGCCAATCAGAGCATAGGGAATCCCTTCTGCAGTCCCAGCCAATCAGAGCACAGGGAATCCCTTCTGCAGTCCCAGCCAATCAGAGCCACTCAGAGCACAGGGAATCCCTTCTGCAGTCCCAGCCAATCAGAGCACAGGGAATCCCTTCTGCAGTCTCAGCCAATCAGAGCACAGGGAATCCCTTCTGCAGTCCCAGCCAATCAGAGCACGGGGAATCCCTTCTGCAGTCCCAGCCAATCAGAGCACAGGGAATCCCACACCCTTTTTTTTTTTTTTTTTTTTTTTTTTAACTTTAATTCCAACCAATCGGAGTGTAGGGAATCTCTTCTGTTTGCCCCTGGCCAATCAGAACAGAGATCTGCAGGTCTCTGAGGGCTGCCACCAATCAGAGCTCAAGATGCCTTTTGGTGCAAGCCAATCAGCAGGCAGGGAATCCTGCAGGCTGCAGCGGGCAGCGCAGAGGGATCCCCTTGTCCCCCCGCAATGAGGGATCCCAGTGCCAGCCGTGGACCCGGGGCCCCCAGGAGCAGCACCGCTGCCTGGCCTTGTCCCTTGGGTGACACGGACACCCCTGTGTCCCCAGCCCCTCAATGCCGTGCGCTCTGCGAGGACACCCAGATCCCTCGGTAGTCCCAAACCCACGCTGGCCCCACTCCCCGTGGTGATCCAGTCCCCCCAGGTGGTCCCGGGTGCCCCAGAGGTAGCCCAGCACCCTGAGATGTCCCTAGATCCCGGGTGCCCCGTGTCCCAGGGCACCCCCAGACCCCTGCGGTGGCCCCAAATGTCACAGCTATAACACATACCTTGGGGCTGACCCCACACCCTGAGTGGGCCCCGGACCCACAGGGATCCCAACAGCCCGTGGTGTCCCAGCAGGACCCCTTCACCCTGGGCTGCTCCAGACCCTCAGAGTGGCCCCAAACCCTGGCTTGCATCCAGAGCCTTCAGAGAGCCACAATGTGCTCTGGTACTGCCAGATCCTTAAAGGACCCCCGCACCCTGGGGTGCCATGACCCCCAGAGGGACCCCAAGACTCTGCTCCAGACCCTCTGGTGAGCTCAAATCTCTGGGGTGCCCCAGACCTTCCAGGGAACACGGGTGGGGACCTGGCTGGAGGGGATCCCCCCAGTAGGCCCTCCTCCATCTGGTCCATTTCTGGTGCACTCTGCTCAGCCTCTGCACCCCAGGGATCACTGGTGGGGAGCTCCTCTACCCTGACATCCCCCCCACAGTACCCCCAGAGAGCCCCTTATCCCTAGACCAACCCCCCTGGGGGGGCTTTCTCCTAGCAAAGGGGCTGGGTTGTGCTGGAGCCCCCCTTGCTGCAGCCCTGTGAGGATGGGTAAGGGAGGTAAGGGCACGGGAAGCTCCTTGGCCACCCCAAACATGTGGGGCAGCCCCGTGGGAGTCTCTCTACCAGCATGGGGGGAGAGGATCACTGGCCCAAGCGGCCCCAGAGAAGTCCACACACACCCCGTTTATTGGGGGGCCGGAGCTGCCTCCTTGCCGCGTCCGTGTCTGCTCCCGGAGCGCTCCAAGCAGGACCACCAGCCCCTGCCATGCCCCTCCAAGTCCAGCTCACTGCCCCATCATGCAGGCCATCTTGCAGGCCACGGCTGAGATGAGGGCGGCCCCGCGCCCGCTGCCTTCCTCCGACTGGATGAAGGTGATGTCGCAGCCGGGCGTCAGCTGCCGCACCGTGGCGTGGAAGTGGTCCTTGAAGCTGGGGAGGCAGGGGAACAGGGGGTCACAAATGGGGTCAAGGCTTGGGGGATGACGGGAGACGATGGGGACATCATCGGGGCCTGGGGATCCCCACCTGGGATGGAGCTTGTAGACGGAGCCGTCGACGCCGACCGTGATCTTGAGGGTGTCCTGGCTGCGGCTCTCCCGCATGCGGTTGATGACGCCGGCCAGCCCGGCCGAGCACATCTGGGCAGCCCGCGTGGACACGCTCTCGCACACCCGGCGCACGATCTCGCAGTCCGTCCGCGACGGCAGCAGCTCAAAGGCCGACAAGATGTTGTAGATCTGCTTGCGGTCATCAGAATCGCTGGGGTGGGGGGAGAAGAGGGGCTCAGCACAGGCCGAAGGGCGGGGGCCCTGGGTGAGGCAGCTGGAGAGGGATGGAGGGAGTGATGGGATCGGGATCCTCACACGGGACTGCTGTTTGGGGTCCCAGGGTGGGGAACCCCAGCTGGGTCAGTCAGAGCAGGCTGGTGTGGGGTGATGGCATGGAGGACCCCAACATGGGGCTGGTGTGGGGCGATGGAACAGAGGGGCCTGGAAGTGGGTCCCCCTAATGTGGGGTGATGGGACACGGGGACCCCAATATGGGACAGAGCAGGCAGGTACGGAATGATGGGATCACGATGGCCGTGACAGGGAACACTGCGGTTTGGGTGGCAGAACGCAGGACTCCAAGATGGGCAGTCAGAGTAGAGTGCTGTGGGGTCACAGGATAAAGGACCCCAAACTGAGGCACTCAATCAGACTGGTATGGGACGATGGAACAGGAGGATCCCCTGTGGGACAGCCCAGAGCAGAGAGGGAGCACAGACTCCTCAGCATGCCTGGACCAATGTGGAGGGAGGGCACAGACCCCCCAGTGCGAAGCAGCCTGGACCCGGTTTGGGGGTGCCACCCCCCAGCCTCGCACCTCTCGATCTGGGACATGAAGCGGGTCTCAAAGGTGCCGCGAGTCTTGAGCTTCTCCGAGGCCTCGCCATTGAAGAGCAGGTTCTCATCCACCAGCTTCAGCAGCACCAGCCGCACGATCTCCCCCATGTACTTCCCCCCAATTATCTTCTCGTACCTGGGGGGGGGCATAGGCCAGGGGGGCATCAGAGCTGGGATGTGAGGGGTCACATCCCACAGCACCCCCTCTTTCCTCGCCCCGCTCCTTGCTGGATGTGTTCCTGCGCACGGGCACGGCCCGGGGCGAAGCACGCCGGGGCTGAGCCAGTGCGGCGCAGGGGACGGGGGGACGCCCAGAGGAACTGGATCTCTCCTATTCCTTACAGTTGCTGACCGGGGTTAAGTGAGGTCTCGTCCACCACGCGGTCGTACTCCAGGAGGAACTCGTCCAGCTCCCCAGAGGCACCAAAGGCGCCCCACTCCGTGTTCACGCACATCCGCCCCTCGTCGCCCTCCACCAGCTCCACGTTGTGCATCTCCTCCATGTAGCAGGCGTTACAGCCCGTCCCTGCCGGGAACCGGGCATGGCTCTGGGCGGCGGGGGGGACAGCGGGGATGCCCCCCACCACAGCCCTCCCCTCCGGACTGGGATAAAACTGGGGCGGTGGTGTGGAGCAATGGGAAAGAACTGGAGGGGGTCCAGACGTGCCAGGGCATGGTTGGGACCCCTATGGAGCCTGAGGGACACTCCCCAGCCTGGTGACTGACAACAAGGGTGGTTCCAGGACATGGGGAAACGCTTTTAGACTAAAAGAGGGGAGATTTAGATTGGATACCGGGAAGAAATCCCACCCTGTGAGGGTGGTAGGGACTAACAGGTCAGAGCCATCAACAGCCTGGGGCAGGGCAGCCCTCTGGGGACCAGCCCTGCTACGATGACCACCCCCTTTACTCCCAAAGTGCCCCAACCATGCCGGGGCCAGGCAATGCCATCGCGTGTCCCAGCCACCAGACACCTCAGCGGAGTGCCACAGCCACCCCTCTGTACTTGGAATGTCTCCCCAAAAGGACGGGGGTAGCAGCAGGGGAGCAGGCCCATGGGACAGTGCCCCATGCCAGCCACGTGTCCCTGTAGAAAGGGCATCTTACCCACAATCATCCCAACCTCGCACCGGTGATCTTCGTAGTAGCAGGAGATCATTGTGGCCACCGTGTCATTCACCATTGCCACCACGTCCATCTCGAAGTCCTGGGGACAGGGACCACTGTGGGCTCATGGGGGGTCAGGCTGCCTCACAGCAGGCAGGTTTGGGGTGGGGACCTGGGCACGTGTCACGCACAGGTGTGCGCACAGACACGAAGCATCCCTGCCCAGGGGCACATTTGGCTCCAGCAGCCCCCGCACGGGGACGGCTGCGCTCCAGCGGTCCCTTCCTGGGGACACAGGGGCTCCAGCGGCCCTGCTGCAGGCACGGCCAGGCTGCAGTCAGCCCCTGGCAGGGCCAGCCGCGGGTGCCGGGGTGTGCCGCGGTGGAGCAGCAGGGTCTGATCCGCTCACCCCTCTCCGTTTGATGGCGTCCCTCAGCAGCCCCACCACGTTGTTCCCTTCCGCGCCAGAGGCTTTGAAGCCCTTGGTCCAGTTCAGGAGGATGCCCTGGAATGGGGGTCAGACCGAAATGGGGCTGGGGTGTAGGTGAGGCCCGAGGACCCCTAACCCTTGTGCTGCCCGGACACCCCCTCACCTTGTCGATGTCCTCGTGCCGCACAGGGAAGGAGAAGGTGAAGCCCAGGGGCAGCTTTTTGTGCTTCATCTGGTGCTTGTCCAGGAAGTCAGAGATGCACTCGGAGATGTAGTCAAAGAGCTGGAAGAGAGGAGGTCCAGCCGTTCCCAAGGGATGTCCCCACCCTCCCTCTATCCTTGGACAGATGCTGTCCCCCACCATGGGCTCCCCAGGCCCGGACACCCCCAGCTTCTGCTGGCTGATGGATGGGTGT